ACCGATGACTCACAGTTTAAGTCGGATTGAAGTGAATATAGGCTCTACTAGCAGATGGATAAATGGATAATGAGAAATTAACTAGAAGTGTACCACTGTACCCATAATCTAGTGAAATGAAACATTCATATATGATTTCCATTGCACTGCAAATGCTTTGTATTAGTCTTTACATATTGCAAATGCTTTGTTTAAATTGGCAGAAGAATGTGAAGTCTTGTAAAATGATTCTCTGTTTTCTAAACATTATAACAAGCACTCCTATTTGCTCATATTCCGAAATTTCACTTTGTTTGGTGCTCCTATTTAGAGTAATTTCGTATGTAGTGGTAATCGTGGATGATAGATACACTTCAAATATAATTACGATGTACTCATGTACAAGAAGTCATGTTCATGTACATTCCAAACAAAATAGTTCATCGAAAGGGGAACTATAGTAGTTGGAAATCACGGCCATAAGCCCATAAAACACGAAAATTAGATACCATAAAAGTAGTAACGGAGTTTAAATATAAAATACATGCAAATTTGCGAATAAAAGAATATGCTGAGAAAAATAACACTCCTCCCCTGATGGTTGTTCGGTTCTGGGATTTTGTATTTATTAGTTTTAAACATATAGATTTTTTTTTATTGTCTATAATAGGTGTAACACATGGCGGAATTTTACATATAGAATTAATCATGTTCTTTTTCTAAACTAGGAATTATTTTATCTTGATAAAAGAATTAGAACCGTTCAACTTTCTCCATAATTTGAGGGAAAATAATGGTAACTCTATTTGTGAGATATGTTCTGGTACTCGCAGAATTTTTTCTTCTAAATTAGACACAATATATGTGCAATTTATACCGTGGGATCGGCCCACCATGCGGATGGTGTACCGATCCCAATACGGTATCGTTTTGAGATAAAAGAAAAAGATAGCGTGCACCCCTCCCGTTTCCCATCGCTCTGTGTTTTGTTAGAATAGCTAGGTACGTTCTTCATGTGCTGCGCCAGCCAAAGAGAGCAGAGAAGGTGAGCATCTCTGACAAATTCCGATTGAGCAATTTGCGATCAAATAGCTTTTTTCAGGGCTGAATCTGCCATCTTCCATAGCCATCTTTCATGGCAATTTGAATGTCTTAATTAGCCCTAAGGTGATTTAAGGAGACTGTTTGGTGCTCCCACCATCTCTCTGGCTGCCGGCTGCTGCGCCAGAACGAAAATATGTGTCCTTGAAATAGCCAAAGCTTCCTCCACCATGCACAATTCTGAATCGCTATGAATCCTTCAACTATAACCTTTCCCTATTGAAACGGTATCAGGATGATTGCAATGAATTATTTTAGACTTTTCTCAACTTACATCTCGCACACACTCAAGTTACATCAGGATTTGCCTAAAATTACATATCTATTAGCGTGAGTTACATGTCAACTTTTCTCACCAAATTACATCTATTTACACGTGATTTACATTTTACATAATACGAGTTACATCACAATATAATGTGAGTTACACAACATAATAAGCCCCTGTTATTCAAAGAAAAATCATTTTCTTAAAAAAATCATTTTATAGCCTTGATAATAAAAACAAAACATATACACTATTTAGTAAAAAATTTGGCCAACTGGACTCATTTTTTCATTGAAATCAATATTTTATTTCTTATATTATGTATTTAACAAGTTACATTTCGACTAGACTTGAGTTACATTGATCAATAACGTGAGTTACATAATTTTACACGCGAGTTACATCATTCATGTTACTGGGACAAAAATAAAAATAAAAACAGTTATTGTACATGCGTGTACTGTTCACGTGATTTTTTTAAAAAAAATTGTTCAAAACTACGTAGTTTTGGAAGTGGAGCATGGTGCTCACCATGGGATGATCCCACGGTATATGAACTGCAATATATGTAAGTGACGTGGCAGCAGAGAGGACGCAACAACCTCTTCAACCACATTTAGGGATGGAATGGATCCGGGCCGCCCAGCCCGTGAACCGGCCCGGCCCCGCTACTGTGCGGGCCCGGACCAGCCTGATCTTGGGTAACCGGTTCCGGGCCTAGGCCCGGCCTGGGGATTGGGGCAGGCCGGGTACGGGCCTTAAATATAGTGAACCGGCCCGATTGGTCTGGGTCGGGTCCGGGCCTTTTTTTTCATTTTTTTTTGTTTTTCCCGGGTAGGACTGGGTGTTTTGGGGGGGGGGGGGGGTTTGGGGGGTGGGGGGTGAAGGGGAGGGGTCGGGGGTTAATTAGAAAACCAAAAGAAAAATAAAATAAAATTGAATCGACCCGGCCCGACCCGGAACCGCTGGCTACTCGGGCCAGTTCCGGGCCCCACTCCCCTCCAAAAAAACCCGGCCAGGCCTGGCCGGGTACCCGGCCCGGTACCCGGCCCGGTACCCGGAACCGGTCCAACCCTAACCACATTAAATAGCCTTGGTGCGATGCATGCATTTTACTAGGATGTTTTACTTGGACTGAAATTTGCTGGTCTAGTCTGGCCTGTTTAAGTCTGTTTTGGTCTGGTCTGGTAAATGCTTGGTCTTTTTTTTACTCGGGGGGGGGGGGGGGGGGGGGGGGCTAGGGGAGGGGGCCTAGAGTAATCAGGACTGAAACTTGTGATTTGGAACTACAATTAAGTATTTTTTTTAGTATTGCAGGCAACTTTAGTATTGCAGAAATTAGAAAAAGGGTCAGTGGATAAATTTCTTCGAGGGGGCCCGGACCAGTCTGAACTGTGAAGGGGGCCCGGACCAGTCTGAACAATAAAGTCTCAGTGGCAACTAAATTAATTTTAGTTCTCTAAAGGGGGCCCGAACCAGTCTGAACTGTGATATTTTTTTACCCAACCTGTTCTTTGAGTTTGTGATTTGGAACTACAATTAAGAAAAAGGGTCAATGTGAATGATTTGGAGACCCCAGAGCAAATCAAACTGAAAAAATAACATACCTCGAAGAAGAAAAGTGGATCACGGCAGAATAATAGGAAGATTACAGCCTCACAAAAAATACTATCATTAGCAATATGGTTTTAACTTTCCCAATCATTACTCGGGAGGTTTATGGTATTTTTTGTTTCCAGGCAGCAATCTAGTGTGCTACAAATAAGTAAATAAGAAGCTGCACAAAATTGATACTGGCATTCAAAATTAATGATGACTCACAGTTTTGTAGAACACCACCATCCACGAAAGAAGAACAAAATACCCCTACGCTAAGAGAAAATTTAATTCATTACTCAGAATTAAGAATTAGTTTGAAAAAACTAATCTCAATATAACCAAACTATAGGGCATTTCTCCTCTTCAGATAGTTTGTCTGTTGGACGTGAAGAAAATTAAAAACCAGTTGCATAGTCCTCAGAAAGAGTTTCCTCAGTGGATCTGTTTTCGACAATGTTGGCAACTGAGCTAGTTGGGAGCTGTATCATTAGATGAGGGATTAGAAAAGGTATCATCATTTCTCGAATCCAAAGTTTGACTCAAAGAATCAAACTTGTTAATCTTCGGGACCTCATATTTTTTCTGAGCCTCAGAAGCATCATCGGCAACAAGGGGAATATCAGATGTAGTTACTGTAATCTCTGGGACAGATTCATCATAAGCAACAATACTTTTATCATAGGCAACTTTCTCAGAGGCAACATTTTCATAGGCAACATTTTCACAATCAGTAATAGCTTAATAGGGACAGGGGCATTTTCACATTAATCAATATCAGGGTCATCTTTTACAGAACCGTTCACAATCACAACATTTTCACTATCAATAACAGGGACAGAAGCAACACAAATAACAAGAGCATTACAGGCAACTTTAGTATTGCAGAAATTATCACAGTAAGTCTCAGTTGGAGCCCCCTTAATGAGTGAAGCAGAAATGGCTAAGTTATTGTTGAAAGTTGGGGCTGCAGACTTTTCCCTTACATACCAAGGTGTGTGTTTTTGGCAGCAGTAACCTCAGCATCCAAGGAGGGTTGAAGCATCATCGGTTTTGGGTCCAATTTGAGAAAACCCTAGGGCTCGATCCGAATAGCAGCCAGAGGGTGGGCGGCCATAAGGGTAGGTCCCAACCAGAGAGTAACAACAAAAATTAGAGGACAATCGAAGCAGAGCTAAGAAAAACTACAGCGTCCTTGATGACGATAGAAGAAGAAGAAAGCAAGATAATTGTTATTTTGATAAGCACCAACCTGACAGAATAGTACACGAACGATCGTGGCCGCAGAATCGAATTAAGCTCCATCAAGGACGACAAGGAACGAAGAAACGGGGGGAAACAATGGTGGACGGTGTTAGTTGGGTTTGTGACCAAAAAGGGTAACGGCTGGGGACTGTTCACACGGCAAAAGAGCCATGGTAACCCCTTCTCACACTTTATATTTTTAGGGCATAAAAACATGGGCGCAAATTTCACAAACTAGTATGAAAAAGGTGCTCAGGTAACTTGCTCACATGTATTAGTGTTGTATAAAGGGTTTATGTGATTTGCAACTTGGAAAAATTATATATACAACTTGCTCACATGTATTAGTCTCTTTGATGACTTTGTTTTCGACTTATCGATATTATCAGTCAAATTTTTCACAAAAATCGTAACTTTTGAATTCGCACGCTGAATTGTAATAATCAAAATAAGTAAGGTTTAAATGACTTTTTCTGACTGCATTGACTGAAGTTACCGTAAACGAGAATTTTAACTAGTTTTTCATAGAAATTATTCTTCATTGAATTAATTAAAAATATTTTAAATATTTCCCCCCCCATAAATCAATAGAATCACCTAATTCAATCACTTCAGCTAAAACTTTATAAATTCTATCAATTTGAATGTTTTCGATTAAATCAGCTAATTAAAAATATTTTAAATATTCCCCCCCATAAATCAATAGAATCACCTAATTCAATCACTTCCGTAAGTTAACGTGACAACCCACAATTTTGTGTTTATTACGGGTAGAAACATGAATTTTCAAACTCCATGTTTTCCTTTCCATGAGAAGAAAGTCAGAAACCACCGGGGGTTTAAATTGACCAGAAAAGGGAAAACACTCACATACACATGCCTTCCTTCCAAGTCACCCGTTACATCCCCACCGACTCTTTCTCTCTCCTGGCCGGCCGCCAATTTCACGGCGTTGGCTTGCTTCCGGTAAATCCCTCCTTTTTGTGATCGCAAAGTCACAAGCACAAGCCAAGTATTTGTGCTGAAATCGTTATATGCACGCCCATACGTAGCAGGTGAGAGATGGAGGGCACGGCAGCAAAGCCCCAGCAAATCTCCGAGATGTTCCAGAAATTCGCCCACGCCTTCAAGGCCAAGACTTTCGAGCTCTTCGCCGACGACGACGACACTTCTTCTCCGGACGACGCCGATGTTTACACCCTCCTCAACTCTGCCGACGAGTTCATTACGGATCAGAAAGTGGTGGTTATCAAGCCCGATGCTCCGGACCCTGCAGCGAAAGCCCACTTCGTCAATGCCCTCGTCTCCTCACTCTTAGCCAACGTTTCATCCTTTGAGGCCTCCTATCTTCAGCTCCAAATGGCCCACGCCCCTTTCAGCGAGAAAGCTATTGAATCAGCCGACAAAGCTGTCGTTTCAATTCTTCAGAAATTGACTGAAATCAGGAATCTCTATTGGAGTTTCAAGAAACATCCTAGCTGCAATCTTGAGTATTTCCCGGTGGGGTCCGTTTTCGAGTTCCAAGTTCAAGAGAACCAGAGCAAGCTCAGAGCCCTGGAGACCATGGTAAATCAACTACAGTCTGATATTGAGTCTAAGGATGATGAGGTTTTGATTTTGAAGAAGAAATTAAATAAAATTCAAGACACCAATTCCATTTTATCAAAAAGGCTAGGGTTAAGAGCTGAGAGCTTATGCAATACCACGGATGTCATGTTAACAGTTCGTGTTTTTGAATCTCTTTTGCGTGATTCGTTGAAGTCTGTGCATTGTTTTAGCAAGACACTACTGGAGCTGATGAGAAAAGCTGGATGGGATCTGGATCAGGCTGCCAATTCTGTTTATTCTGATGTAAACTATGCAGAGAAAGGGCACAACAAGTATGTCTTTCTCTCTTACGTTTGTTTGGAGATGTTCCGGGGTTTTGATAAGGACAATTTCGGGATACAGTGCAGTGGTTGCAATGACTCTACTTGCGGTAAGAGTGGGTACCTGAGACAGCTAATCGAGCATGTCTCATGCAATCCACTGGATGTTTTGCAAAAGAGTCCGAATTGCGGGTTTTCAAGATTTTGCGAGAACAAGTATGAGCAACTGATCCATCCCACAATGGAGACATCAATATTCAGCAATATGGACCGTAAGGAACTTGTATTGAATTCGTGGAAATCGTTGAGCGTATTTTACGAATTCTTTGTCAGGATGGCAAGCTCGGTATGGCTGCTTCACAAGTTGGCATTTTCATTCAATCCCGTGGTAAAGATCTTCCAAGTGGAAGCAGGGGTGGATTTCTCAATGGTGTACATGGAAGACATCACTAGGAAAAACAGCTTCTTTTTGGGCAAGACTAGGCCCAAGGTTGCTTTCACCGTTGTCCCTGGGTTCAAAGTAGGTAGGATGATCATTCAGTCTCAGGTTTACCTAACCCCAATGGCTTTAAACATCCATCCATAGCTCTCTTAAAAACTAGGATTTGCATTCTGTAGTGACTGGCTGATACCGAGCGTGTTCCGTTGGAAATGCCGGTTCATCCCAAATATGCAGAACAAGACCTTAATGTAGAAGTGTTCATTTCCCTCACCTCAAGCACATACTACAAGTGTCTCGAGCTGGTTTGGCTGTGCTACATATAGTTTGCTCCATAGGAATTTCATTTGGTTGGTAATGTTTGATGAATCTTAAGGAGATGTATGTATAGAAAGGAGTGACCATATAGAGCAATAGAGGAAGGGGTTCAGTTTCTCCCTTTCTCTTTTTTATTGGATCTCAGTATCTCACATTAATTACACCATTAAACTTTATTAGATTTTAAATATGTATATATTAATTCTCAGTGCTGATTTGAATATTAACTCGGACAATTTAATTTTATCGTAGAATTAAAATTCGTAAATTCGAAACCAATTTGGAATGGGAGGACTAAAATATTTTGTAGAATGGATTTATTTAGAAAGAAAAAAACATTTCGCGTATGGACAAAGTGTTGTTACATGAGCTCAGGGGCGGATCTAGCATTTACGTTCAGGTGGGGCCAAAATTTAATCAAATAACGTATATTATAAAAAAATGTCAAAATGTAGTACAATATAATAATATCTTAGAAGTCAAAATGTAAATTATAGAAATGTCAAAGAATAAATTGAATATTACAGAACCGACAATACAATTATCTTAAAAGTCATAAATATCGAACCGAAGTTTTATCGGTTACCCAAATGTTTAGTGCCAATTTTTAGGTTAGTTTCTCGGAAACAAGATAAACCGATTTTTTTAATCTAAAATCTATACTCTATGTAAAGAAAACTTATTTTCACCTACGAAATCCAATGTATTCAACTAATTAATTTTTTGGTCAATATTCAAAAGCCCAATGAATAAAACTAATTAATTTTTAGGATAATATTCAAAAAGCTCAATCAATTGAACTAATTAGTTTTTCAGACTAATAAAGCCCAATTAGTTGGACTACTTGATTTTTGCATCCTAGTATTCAAAAGTTAAAATTCAGACTTGATTTGTGTAAGATAACTTGTTCCTGGACTTGGATGGAAAATAAAAAAAATTATGCTCTAGCTAGGAATCAAACACATAACCTCTAGACTCACAATCACACCTCTACCATCAGACCAACATAGGGTTTTAAAAAACTCAGAGACTTTAATACAACTATGTTGGCCAAACAGGCCTGCAGGCTTTTTATAAATCCCGATTCGCTCGTGGGGAGAGTATATAAAGCTCGATACTATCCTAACGGGAGTTTTTTGTTTGCAAGACCGGGGAATAATCCATCTTTTATTTGGAGAAGCCTTATTCATATGAAGGATGTCCTTCGGGAGGGGTACTACTGGACAGTTGGTGATGGCCATTCTATCAACATATAGGAGGAACCTTGGCTCCGGGATAAGGAAAATCCTCGCATTATTTCGGAGAAATATGATGAGTTAAAGGGGGTAGTGGTGGCTAATCTGTTTTGCACTGACCGTAGAGAGTGGGATACAGATGTTATTGATGATATTTTTTAGGGGAGAGACGCGGCTCTCATCAAGGGTGTTCCTTTGAGAAGGTCTTCAATGACGGAATCAATTTGCTGGAGATGGGAGGAAAGTGGATAATTTTTTGTTAGAAGTTGCTACAGACGGATAAGGCAGGAGCTGGGCAATCAATAGGGAATGTTATGGACTGCAATGTGGAATTTTAATATTCCACCTAAAACTAAAATGTTTTTTTTGGCAGGTTTGTAGCGGGTGCCTTCCTACGAGACTTAATTTGCAGGGCCGAAGAGTCGAATGTTCGGGGTTTTGCGGATTGTGTGGAGTGGTTCCGGAGCCTTTAGAGCACTTATTCAGGCTCTGTCCGGTAGCTAATGTTGAGATTGGAAAATTCTTCTATTCAATGTCAAGAACAGAATTACAATAGGAGGAGCAAACTCTCACACTCAACTATTACAAAAAACCAATCCTCACCAATACACTTCTACTCTAAGTGTATTTCACTCTTCACACACTTTTCTCACTTTCTAAAACTGATGATATGAACAATAATAGAACACTCTATTTATTGGAGAGCTCCTTCCAAGAAGGTGTGACATGCCTCTTGGCAACTTTCAAGAAAGAGGGTGGAAATTCCCTACAAATCTCCCCCTCCACCTTTTTCTTTGTTTCTCTCATTCCTGCGATGCCTTCTGGCTCCCCCTCGCTGGCAACAAGTATCCATTCGGATGTGGAATACTTTCTCTATGGAACTATGCCTCGCATAGAACGTCGAACATGAATACCTTCATATTCGTCTTCAGATGAAGGCTCCCCCTGCTGAGGAATATCATCACTGTGAGCATCATCATCACTTACTGAACCATCATTCTCTTGTTCAGTAGTATCATGCATCTCCTCGTCGCTGAGAGGAATGTTTGATGATACATGCACTTCGTCTTCTCTAGTATGTTGTGTGCTGATGATTGGGGCACACTCATGAAACTCATATTCATGAAATACAACATCTCTGCTTCGTACAACTTTCTTCACTTCAGGATCCCACAACCGGTATCTGAATTCTTCATCTCCATAGCCGATGAAAATGCATGGGTTTGATTTGAGATCAAGCTTCTGTCTCAACTCCTTGAACACATGTGCAAATGCCTTGCACCCGAACACTTTCAAGTGAGAGTAAGAAACATCTCTTCCTGACCATTTCTTGTCTGGCACTTCAAAGTTTAAAGGAACAGAAGGTGACCTGTTTATAAGATAACAAGCTGTCAGCACAGCTTCACCCCATAATGGCTTCGGTAGTTTAGCCATACTCAACATGCAACGAACTTTCTCCACAATGGTTATGTTCATTCTTTTGGCTACACCATTGTGTTGTGGAGTTTGTGGAACCGTCTTCTCATGTCTGATTCCATATGCAGCGCAATATGCTGAGAATTCCCTAGAAGTGTACTCTCCTCCATTGTCTGAACGTAGACACTTCAGCTTCTTCCCTGTTTCTCTTTCTACCATGGCATGAAATGATTTGAAACGATCAAACACTTGATCCTTACTCTTTAGACAGTAAGCCCATACCTTTCGTGATGCATCATCAATGAATGTCACGAAATATCTGCTTCCTCCAAGTGACTCCTCTTCAATGGGTCCACATACATCTGAGTGGACAAGATTGAGTAACTGTGAATGGTTCTTCCTGGTAGAACTGAAGGAAACTATGTGTTGTTTCCCAAATAGACAGTGCTCGCATGGATCTAGGGCAACACCTTTGTCCAAGGAAATGGCTTCCTTCTTTGCAAGAGTTGTCAATCCCTTCACACTCAAGTGGCCTAACCTCCGGTGCCACAAGTTTGGTGATGTCTCTTCTTCAACAGCATTGAGACTTGGATGACATAGCTTTGCATGGGTTTTTATAAAGAGTACCACAAATATGGCCTCTTGCAACAATCAAGGAACCTTTAGATAGCTTCCACGTACCTTCTTTGAAGCGGTTAAGATATCCTTGCTGATCCAGAGCTGTACCGGAGATAAGATTCAATCTAAGATCCTGAACGTGTCGAACATCTTTCAACACAAGTGCGCATCTGACATTGGTTGTTATGTGCACATCACCAATGCCAACAATCTTTGAGAAACTGGTGTTTCCCATCTGACCGGGCTAAACTTGCAAGTGTACAAGTGCCGATATAGTAATAAATTCAGGTAAAATACCGGGTCGAATCCACAAGGAAACATTGTTTAATTTAAGTCCGAGAGTAGATAACTTTAAATGAAGAAATGAATAAAGTGTAGGGATTTTGATTTGTGTTTTATATTTTTGGTTTTTTTCACTTTTTGTTCAACAAGATAATCGTTAACTAACTTTGAGTTCAAGATAAATGATAACAACAACTAAGGCTTCGGGAATCAGTTAAATGCTTAAATAGGGTTGAATATTAGTTCTTTGCCAATAATTATGAATACGATGTCGCTAATATATTCTCAACTCCGGTTAAGGCAGCGAGAGCGTGGTTTTCGTTACGTGTAAGTCCCGTTACGGCTTACATTCATCTACCGAAAACCCCATTGAATATCAAGACATCACACCCGTATCATATAAGACCGGATATATTTCTATTCTCGGTACTATATATGTTTATCCTTTAATGTTCATAGTTTAGACTTCAAAGTTAATTGCAAGTATAAACTAAATTTAACATACTTCTATGTTGTACACCATAGTCATAAACAATCAATATATAAAGGATGAATCACAATTTATTGGTTTAGAACTTTTATCAAACACCTAGTGGGCATAGAAGTTCATCCCTAGCCTTAGCTAAGAAATTAGCCTCTAATGCTCATATTAATCACAATACATTAATAAATGTAATGGAACATGAAATTACAAAGGAAATAATACCTAAACACCAATGATTTCGGAGGATGAACTTCCCTCCTTAAGAACTTGAAGAAAATACCAAGAACAAAAATATAAAAGCTAAGAATTAATCTATGGAATGGAATGTATTTGTATGATGAATTGAGGGCTTTATATAGGCTAAAGAATGACATCTTATAGTCTATTCGAACCCAACAATGAGGTATGGAAGCAATATTTGATTAGCATTGAGGAAGATGGGGTTTTCCCATCAAGAATCAGCTTGCACGATGCTGTTTTTTAGCAGAAAATCGACCCAACCGGACCCGGTTGAAAACAGGTTCATTTGTGCTAGAAAAAACGTTCCGACCGGCGCCGGTTCAAGACCGACCGGCGCCGGTTGCTGCGCCCAAAAATGTACTTCATTTCTCTTCCACCGAAATGGATCAAAAAGTGTTGGTTTTTGTACAGGGATTTTTTAGATGTTCCGATATGACGTTGGACATGATACCTTCACCAAAGTTGTAGATAATGAAGTCTTCTATCCAACAAAACTTGAATGACGTAATTTTATTCATCCAATCAAGAGATATGGACAAAACACTGAGAGGTAGGCATCCTGAAATCCCACCAACAACATCTGACTTTATCGGTGGATTGAGTATTGTTCCTTTCCTATTCTGGCCATGATGTCTTCATAACATTTGTACCTTACTGAGTTACCATTCACATGAAATTAGAATGGAGTGATTTCGAGTTCTCTACAATACGTTATACTCAAATGATGGGCAAAACGTCATCCTTTTGGTCCCAAAAGCCGTTCATCACAATGTTTTATGCTATAACTCTCATTCTCAAGATATTTTCCCAATTTCTCTTCTTTTCTTCAACAAACACTTATAAATACTTATGTTAAACACAAGTAAATATAACGGCTATCAAATCCCCCCACACTTGAGCATTGCTTGTCCTCAAGCTATTTCTTTGTATTGATGCACAATTAGAAAAGAAACTAAATCATGCAAA